GCTCGGCGGGAACGCTCCAAGAAGGCCCACGTCGTCGTCCTCGTGCTCTGCGTAGCTGCCATGTCATGCTGTGTAGCATAACCTCCGTTGTCCGTTCCATGCTGTGAGTGCGCGTCTTGATGGTCGCCTCTTCCATGAGAAAGTTATTTATCATGCTATCCAGATCAGGAATGTGAGTCGCCTCCATGCCTTCGTCAGCACCAGCTCCAGATAGATGCTGTTGGAGTTATGGGAGAGTCGGTCGGTATGAGGTAATCGTGTTGTAGCGTCGGTTCTTCACACCAGTAGATCGGCCAGATAGAAGTCGAGCCAGCTGATGTACTTCGGCCTGTTGTCCAGCTGCTCGAGCCTGTCGAAGTTCTTGGTATAGCCGTTCGCGGTGTAGTGCACGACGTCTGCGGGCCCATCGGCGGAGTTGGTTAGATATCCGTTTGATCTTCTTCAAGCAATCCAAGTGCGTGTCGTCATAACTCTGGTAGTGACCGTAGATGGCGAAGAACTCTGCTGCCTCAGCTCGTTGTGCGCGACGTTCTCGAACAAGTCGAAGCCGTTCTTGTTGGAGTCGACGCTCTACGGCGTCCACAGGTCGATCGGGTATGGCACAATGATTTAGGCCAACTCGCTGCACGACCTCGGCCCAACGATTGTAGTAATTATCCGTGTGTTGGTCATTCTCATTGCAGTCGGCAAAATATGTGGTTTGGGCCATCATCTCTCGTTCAAGTTCCAAGTGAAAAGCTTCTCGATGAGCTCCGTTCTGGAGAGCCTCGGCCAATTTGTTGTGGCCACATCGGGGTCGCAGAGTTTTCGGCATCGTCACGGGAGACTCGTACTGCATAGCTAAGGTAACGGGTACATGGTCTCGTGGGGCGCTCCGAGGGATTAGCTGTAGGACGCGGCCAGCTCTCCAAGCAACTCGACAGTGTTTTACTCCAGGTCCTCGTCCCTTTGGGATTGCGAAGATGTCCAATGTCGATTTGTCTCCCTGAGGTCCATAATATGTGGGTCCCGACTGTCGCGCATAGCTTCCAGGGGCCATGAGGTCGAGGTCGAATAACATGTTTGAGAAAATCTCTCCAGATGGGCCGTTTTTTATGAAGTGATGGGGTCCGATGCGGTTCTGGTCGGGGTCTACCAAGCTTCCGTCTTCCCAGAGTCCGAATCCTGAATCGATGTCAATGCCTATTATCGGGGTACTTCGGGAACGACAGCGTTCGACTCGACTACGTACATATCGCATTACAGTAGTAGCGGCCGTCACTTGGGCCTTCCGTTTTGTCCCGTCCGAGTAGGTGGGTGGTGGGTAAGCACATATGACAGTGATATCCAGGAGTCCAGATTTAATTCGTAGTTCCCCATATCGACCTGGTGCGTTTGTAGGGCCAGAGACGATTGAATAGATATGTTCGGCGCGAAATCGACGACCTAGAATAATACACACTCCCGCACTCGTATTGCTGTATGGTGCACGTCTCCATCCATAATGTACTGCAGTGAATTTACCTCCTCCAAGATTCTCCGCGTGGTATGTCCTTCCCTCCCATTCGCGTATACACGTACCAGGCATCACCAATATGTCCACGTCGAGCTCCTGGGCTATTTCCAGTGTTCTGCCTGCCGTGCATAGAGACAATGGGTTATACAAAGCGGCTCGAATGAGACTACACATAATAATCATCCCACAGGCCCCTCGTACAGCTCGACTCATCCGTCAGTGACCGACCATGGCAGGCACTAGAGAGGGACGAACGCTGAGTGAGGGCCAAAGTTGGGGACGCCGCCGCTGCATAAATCCTCTGGGAGGGGACATGGCGGCTAGGAGGAGGAGGGGGAGGAGGAGGAGGAGGAGGAGGAGGAGGAGGAGGAGGAGGAGGAGGAGGAGGAGGAGGGGAGGGAGGGAGGGAGGGAGGGAGGGGGGAGGGAGGGAGGGAGGGAGGGAGGGAGGGAGGGAGGGATGGAGGGGAGGAGGGAGGGAGGGAGGGGGGAGGGAGGGGGAGGGGAGGGGGGGGGGAGGGAGGGGAGGGGAGGGGAGGGGGGGAGGGGTGAGGGGAGGGGAGGGGAGGGTGAGGGGGGGGAGGGGGAGGGCAGGGGAGGGGAGGGGAGGGAGAGGGGAGGGAGGGGAGGGGAGGGGAGGGGAGGGGAGGGGAGGGGAAGGGGAGGGGAGGGGAGGGGAGGGGAGGTGTGAATCTCAGATAGATTTCTAGGGCTCTGTGTGACTGGAGCTCCCGACCCTGTGTCCGTCCCGTTCGGGTCTTCGGAGCTCTTGAACCCATGTGCAACCACCCGCACGTGCTCTGTTTTCCTGTCCGTAGCCGTCCGGCTTATAGCCGGGCCAAGAGGCCCCTTTTGGCGATTTTGACATATCGGTCCGAAGCTCAGGGGGACCACGCGAGATAGAAAACGAGTTTCTCTCATCATCAACGTTGTGCTCTCACTTTGGACAGTATATCCAAGCTCTACGAGCCCACCGTTTCTGCTGTATTTCAAGCTCTGCGAGCTCAACATCTCCGCCTACCTACACAACCCTGAGGATCATATCCCAGTGCTCGTGAGGGTTTCTCGAAGTGAAAGGCTGAAGATCCGTGGAAGACACGCTCCACTGACATTGGTAGCGAGACGAAGTGGCAGCCCACTTCGAGGTCGATCTCCAAATCAAGATGGCGAACGATCAGCAGTCCGGAATCAAGATTCCTGTGTGGAATGGTGAGGCCTCAACTTTAGAGAGTTTCGAGGAAAAGGTTAAGTTGTGGGTCCTGGGCACAAAGAAGGATGACAGGATCTACCTCGGCCCGCGTTTGGTTCAGGCAATGGACGAGGACTCGCAGCAGTGGTTTGAGGCAAAGAAGGTTTCGCTCGACGACCTCGTCACGGAGGACGGAGCGGAAAAGGTCGTGGAGGCGCTCAAAGGAGTTAGAGGCACGGTCACGATGCAGGAAGCTGTGTCAAAGTGGCGAGAGTTCATGCGTGGAGTGCATCGGCATCCGGGTGAAGGTCCAAAGAGATGGGTTTCTCGTTTTGACATCCACTTGAGCAAGATCGGTAAAGCCCTCCACGCAGTCTGTGACGAGATTCCGGCCCAAGGTTTCATGCACGAGTTCATCCTAGGTTTGATCCTGCTGGACGGGACGGGCTTGGACCCGTCAGAGCAGGCCGCGGTGCTGGCGACCAGCGGCCCCAAGGGCAGGACGTGAAGAAGGCGCTAGCTGAGCAGTGGTCGGAGGAGCAGCTGGCATCGCGGGACAAGCAGAAGGGATACAAGGCCAGGACAGGCGCTCACGCGGTCTTCGACGACGCCGACGAGCTCGCCGCCTACGCCGAGGAGGTCTACGACGAGGCGTACATCGACGGGTTCGAAGAGGCGGCAGACATCACGGAGTCGGCGATGACGGCAGCCGAAGACCTGATGACTGCTGCGCTCGGTGAAGAGCCTAGAGGAGACGAGGAGCAAGGAGAGGATGCGCTGGCAGCGGCGGCCTCGACTCACGAGACGGACGAGTGGACGGAGACGGCCTTCGCGGCTTTGAGGACGTTCGTGGAGGCGAGGAAGCTGATCAACGAGGTCAAGAACGCCAGAGGCTACTTTCCGGTGGTAGGTCTGGGCGCCTACGATGCGCTCCCGACTCAACCCGCCGCTGGAGCTGGACGCGGACGTGCAGTGAGTCGGGGCGGACCGCCTCGCAAGGGCAAGGGCAAGGATCGAGGCGGAGTGGCAGGCCGCGGCAAGGGTCGTGGTCAGAGTCAGAAGCGTCCAGCAGCAACCCCGAAGGACTCGAACCCAGGGACCAACGAGAAGTTCAAAGGGGCTTGCCTACTCTGCGGCGAGCCAGGCCACAAGGCAAGGGACTGCCCCAATCGGGGCAACGGCGGCGCCCAAGGGGAGAGGCGCCGGGCTTTCAACAGCTTCGTCGGCGCGGCCGACGGCTATAGCAAGAAGGTCGAGTTCAAGGACATCCAGGACGTGTTCGTCGGCACGGCCAACGACGAGGGCGAGTCCAAGGACTGCGGCGAGGAGGACCTGGACGAGTTCGTGGCCTTCAGCATGGACGACTGCAAGGGCTACGCACTCCTGGACGGTGGAGCGTCCAGATCAGTCGGAGGCGCGGAGCAGCTGGAGTACGTGAACGAGCGCCTGAGTGAGCCCATGGAGGTCAGCCCGGACAAGAGTCTGGGATTCTCATTTGCTGGAGGCGACAGGGCAGACGCACCCTCACGGGTGACCTTTAACGTGAAGGTCCTGAACGATAAGGCTGTGAGCATCTACGTGCTGGATCGTAAATCCCCGGTGCTGCTTGGAATCGATATGCTGAAGAAATACGGGCTCGTGATCGATTACTTCCACAACACCGTGTACTCTCATCGGTTCAAGCGTGAGATCCCCAGTAGAGTGCTCCCGTCAGGTCACTTGGCACTGAACCTTACTGCTCTGGGCAACGAGGCCTCGAGCGCCAGCAGCGAATAGGGACAGCACCCTGGTCGCGACAAAGGGACTTTGGAAAAGTCGTCGTCCAAGTCTGTCGCCACCAGGGGCCCCAAAGACGCCAATGAGCTTCCCCAGATGCTCCAGAAGTTGCTCGAGGTCAGTGTCTCCATCATGGGCCCCTACCCCGAGCTAAGCCAGTCTATGCTACAACCTATTCTTTGGTATCTATGGGAACGGGCGGACTGGAAAGAAGGTGCGAGAGTTAGTCGGGATATATGGGTCGACTGCTCACACGCTCTCGTTCGGGTTCATCATCGGGTTCGTTTTCAGAGATGTGATCTTCGAGATTTTGAAGCTCTTAGTTTAGCCAGCTTATCGGGGAAACGCCACACTCATATGATTCGAGAAGACGGGGAACACATGATGATCATCGAGAGACTATCGAATAAAACAGCTCGACTAGTCGAACGTTCGAGATGGGTCGGTCTCACTATCTACCCACGACCCTTGTGTTCAAGAACCGTTTCGGCTCAAGAAGTTCAACGAAGCAGGTCCCAGTTCGAGGGCGCGTTCCAGGCTGATGTCGAAATGCGCCCATCTGGACCAGATGCGTCAGGGGTCCAACCTTGCCGTGGACCTGATCCAGTGCAAGAGCTGCGGGGAGATCCTGTTCAAGCACCACTTCGCGAAGACGAGCGACCAGATGCTACTCCAGTGTGTTCGCTCCCGGCAGTATATCCACCGCCTGGAGACCACGGGTACGGCCCAGCCCGCGGCGCCCAGGATGAACCAGTCGAGCTCCTCGGACAGCGAGGCCACGGCGACGACAACGGCGCCAACGTCAATGCCTCCACCGAGCCCTCCAGGGGCCACCAAGAAGTTGCCCGAGCGCCTGTCGGCCGAGGTCATTCGGAAGCTCACGGACACGGAGGTGCAGCAGATCATCGAGAGCGAGAGGATCAAGATCCGCCAGGAGGAGCAGCAGCGCCTCGCGAAGGAGATCCTCCAGAAGGGCCTCATCGACACGCCGACGGACCCGACGGAGGTGGACGACAGGGCCAGGCCGAGCAAGAGGCTGGGCGTCAGCCAGATGCCCAAGGCCGAGTCGATTCCCGTGCCAGAGGATCTGCCGACACCGTCGGGACCGCCGAGGCCAGCCGGAGACCTTCATCTTGTGTGAAGAGCTGTGTATTCGGAGCGCTGATCGCGGCGACGGCGGCTCTGGGAGAGATACCGGGCACCGCCTGGGAGGCAGCCGAGACCTATGGCAGGCTGGACCTCGCAGAAGTGGCCTGTGTGTCCGACTCCAGGCTCACGCACGCGATGATCGGGCAAGGAGGCAAGGCCGAGAGATTCAGCGACTGGAACGGGTATGACTTCTCCACCAGGTCGGGTGCAGAGAAGCTCGTGAAGGCTTTGCGGGTCAAGAGGCCTCGAAGAGTTTGGTTTTCCCCACCGTGCGGAGCAGAGTGCCCATGGCAGAATCTGAACCCCGTAACGGCGGAGTCGGAGAAGAAGCTGATCAAGACCAGACGTATCCAGCGGAACGTCAAATGGGCTATCGGTCAGCTGCTGAACGAGGGTTTCTGCGACATATACCTCGAGCAGTCGGGACGCTGCAGGTCGTGGACAGGCAACTTCAAGGAGCTCAAGGAGTCCATGCATGGCTGCAGGATTCACGGGTGCATGTATGATATGAGAGACGAGCAGAGCGGTCTCCTCATACACAAGGACTGGCACATCGCGACCACTGACCCGCAGTTTGAGAAGAAGGTTGGGAGGACCTGCCCTGACTTGCATCTGCAGATGCCGCTGGAAGGCGGCACGAGGGTGGCACTGTCAGCGAATTATCCCGTGAACCTGTGCCGGAGGATCGCCCAGCACTTCATGACCAGGGCCACCTCGGACGAGGCCCTCGCCTATCTGGTGCAGGCCCACAACGAGTTGGACGACGAGCTGTGTGCAGCGGGCTACAGGCGCTTGCGGGAGAAGCGGCCGGCCTCTGAAGGACCACCACCACCGCCGCCGAAGCGCCCAACGCTGGAGCCCACAGCTCCCGAGAGTCAAGGAGAAAGCGCAGGCGGTCAAGTACCAGCTCCTGATCCTGACGAAGCTGGAGATGCTCAAGTCCCTCCAGAAGGCGAGGCGCCCCCGCCGACGCCCGAGTCGGGAGGTCAAGAGCAGTCGATGGGCAATCTCAGACTGCCACTGCCAAGGAGTGTCCAGACCTGTACCAAGGCAGAGTTGCGCGAGCTGGAGGCCATCATCGCACACATCCATCGGAATTTCGGACACTGCAGTATGAGCACGGTCAGCGCCGCCCTCAAGTCTCGCAAGGCGGACCAGAAGATCATCGACCTTTGCAGACACTACGAGTGTCCGTCCTGTAAGGCAGCTCAAAGGTTTCAGATGCGACCTATTGCCAGCTCAGAACCAACGTTACCCGCTCCTGGTACCGAGATGGGTTGCGACAATTTCTATTGGACACATCCTCGACGAGCCTACCAAATTCGTGGGACCCTCTGTGCAGACTATGGCAGCCGCTTTACCCAGACGTCGATTCACTGTCAGAAGGGGATCGAGGAGCATTGCGGCAACACCACCGCGAAGGAGATGAAGGAGGTAGTGCTGAAGGACTGGATCCACCACTACGGCAAGCCGGAGGTTTTCAGGACAGATCCCGAGGGTTGCTTCAAGCAGGTCGAGCAGCGCGCCTGGGTCTCGGGTAACGGCATGGAGTGGAGACCGGAACCCGGAGAAGCTCACTGGCGAATGGGAGTGATCGAAAGGTGCATCGAGACTGTCAAGGAAATCGCCACTCGCCTCGCCTGGGAGCTACCAGACGACACAGATCCCGCGGACATCTTTCGCTGGGCTTGCGTGGCCAACAACGACCTGATGCGACACCAAGGCTACAGCCCGATGATGCTCATGATGGGTCGCACCCCGTCGGGGCAAGGCCTGGAGCAAGTGGAGAATCCTTCGGTCCTGAGCGCAAATGTGGTGGACAAGCACTTCCAGGAGGTCACGCGCATCAAGGCGGCTGCCTACAAGGCGTGCGTGGACCACTACCTGTCGGAGAAGACGAAGCCTGCCCTGCTGGCCAAGACGAGGCCGTTCAAGACATGGGAGCCTGGTGAGAAGGCACACTACTGGCGAGGTGCGAAGAGTAACAGTCACAAGACTCGACCAGGTATCGCTGGTCGATTTCACGGTCCCGCCACTGTCTTGATGCAGGAGCGCGAGATGAAGAACGGAGTTGCGGTGCGTCGAGGAGTTGTCTGGCTTGTTGACGGTGATCGTCTCGTACGAGCAGCGGCCGCTCACCTCCGCACGACTACGAAAGCGGAGCGGACCCTGGAGAGCATCTCCGCAGGGAGCTCCGACCACTTCAAGAAGATTCTTCGGGAGTTGACGAAGGGTGCTTACGACGATGTGGTGGATCAGCCTGGTCCGGGAGAATGGGGCGATATTCCAGAAGGAGAGAACGTTGAAGTACCAGACCCACCCAGGATGACAATTCCAAGAAGTATGGCATTTCATCAACCTGATGATCACGAAGGTGAAGCGGGGTCGGGCTCGAGTGGCCACGAAGGGGCCGCGCCTGAGGTCTCACCGCCTCCTATGCCCGCGCAGAATCCAGCTGAACCGGCACCGACGCCGACCAGAGACCAGTTCGACGAGAGCGAGCCACCACCAGAAGGTTACAACAAGCGGGAAGCCAGTAAGGAACCTTCTGAAGATCCAGATCCCAAGAGACATCGCGCCGACTTTGCTGGGTACGTGGGCCATCTGTGCCAGAAGGCGTCGACGCTTGTCATGCCCGAGCTCGGTCGTGCCGAACCCGAATCTGAGGGCAGTGCGAATTGGGTCTCACCCTGGGAGTATGATCAGAAGACGAAGGCTTCCGACCTGGTGGGCTCCGTGGGCGAGGACGAGCCGAACCTCGCGATCATGATCGGCTTCGCGCTGGAGGAGTCGGATATGGATCAACTCAGCCGGAGGCCTGACAAGGCCCTCGCCGCGATGGTCAAGCAGAACAAGGTCGAGGTGAAGCTCAAGAACCTTACGGCAGAGGACCGTGAGAAGCTCCCGATCGCGAAGGGTAACGAGATCAAGTCTTTCCTCAAGTATCGAGTCTGCGAGGCAGCCAGTCGTGCAGGAGTACACCCTGGAGCCCTGATGAAGATGAGATGGGTCATTACAAGGAAAGAGACGGGCGACCTTAAGGCTCGTTTGGTGGTTCTTGGCTTTACCGATCCGGGACTTGGGCGAATCAAGACCGCTTTCCCCACATGCAGTCGTCGAGCTCGCCAGGCTTTCCTGGGCGTCTCCGCCTCGATGGGCTTTCAGGTCTTCAAGGGTGACGTCAAGGCAGCTTTCCTACAAGGCGATCTTGGAGAAGAAGATCGAAATGTCCTGGCCGAACCAGTCAAGGAACTTAAGGAAGCCATGCGACTCGAGCATCACCAATGCGTCAAGCTCAAGAAGGCAGTTTATGGTCTGGTGAACGCTCCTCGCAGATGGTGGACGAGAGTTCGCCGGGACATGGCCAAGCTCGGCTGGGTGGAGTCTACGACAGAACCTTGCCTGTGGTGTTTACGAGAACCTGGAGGACAGCTCATAGGTCTGGCCGTAGCCCACGTGGACGACCTCATGATTGCGATTGACCAGCACTCGGACCTTGCAGTGGACGCCCTCCAGCAGCTCCATCGAGCCTATGAGTGGGGAAGCTGGGAGACTCAAGATTTTGTTCAGTGCGGGACGCGGATTCGACAAGAATATGATGGACGCACGAAGTCATGGGGCCGTATCCATCTTAACATGAATGACTACGCCCAGGAGCTCGTGGAGATAGATATTCCCGCACATCGACATCGTGATCCCGAGCAGCCGGTGACATCGTCAGAAGCTACCCGTCTACGCGCCGCCTTCGGTCAGCTCACGTGGTCAGCTACGCAGGGCGCGCCCCTCATCGGGGCAGGGTTGTCACGGCTGCTGGCTTACAGTGATTCCGCCACGGTGAATACTCTCCTGCAGGCCAACAAGCTCATCAGGCGCACCAAGTTCGAGGCGACCGAAGAGCTCATCATGGAGAAGCACGCGAATCCGTGTGCGGTCGGCTATTCGGACGCAGCCTGGAATGTTCGACGCGATGGTTCTTCACAGGGTGGTTTCTTGATCTTTCTGACCGACTATACCTTGATGCAGAACCGAGAGGCGCAGATCTCTCTGCTGGCTTGGGCATCGGCGAAGTTGCCGAGAGTGTGTCGGAGCTCGAGCGCGGCCGAGGTACAAGCCGCCAGTGAAGCTCAAGAGGAGCTGGAGTTTTGTAGGCTGCTGCTGAGCGAGATCCTGCTGGGACCCGCGCCTCTTAAGCACTGGACTTCAAGCTGTGCGAAGATTCCTGGCGCTTTGGTCCCGGACTGCCGCGGCGTGTTCGATGCTCTGGATCGGTCCGAGAGCAGCGCCCTCGGCATGAAAGACAAGAGGAGCGCGCTGGAGGCCCAGGCCCTCAAGCGCGGCATGGCCGCCACATCCACATCCCTGAGGTGGTGTCACAGCGGTGCGCAGCTGAGCGATTGCACGACCAAGAACTCGGAGAAGGCTCGCGCCAGCTACAACCTTTGGCAGCAGCGAGGCACCTGGAAGTTGATATACGACGCTAATTTTATTTCCGAGAAGCAGAGAAGACAGCGAGGACTGCAGACAC